TCAAAACTGAAAGTTCCAGATAGGTTTCTTCCCCAGAGATTTTTTTTTCCACTTTAATTAATTCTTCAATCTCTATTGATGATTTTTACCAGCATCATCAGGCAGTATTTACATTTGTTTGTTTTTGTATTAGAATGTTGATGAACATGTGAAAGAACCAAACCCAAATGAGTTCAAAGATGATATCACTTTGTCATTAATGTAATTTGGGGCTCATTTATCAACAATCTCACATTCTCAGATGCCATCTCAGAGGTCATGGAATCCTGTTCCTAAATGTTTGTTACACCACAGAATTTTGTGGGGATTTTTACCACAAGAGGATGAGATGAGAGTCATCTCCAGATCAGAACCTGTCCTGGTCCTCTTTTCTCCAGTGTCCCAAATCCATGCTGTGAGCAGGCCCCTGGGCAGGCCATAAGGGAGAGGTTTGCAATACATATTAAGGCTAAACTCTTTGCTTTGGTTGTGGGTGCCTGTCACTGCAGCACTGCTAAATTCCTGCTAATTTCACCTAAGCTCTACGTATTTCTAATTTCAAATTTCCTTGCCCTAGTCCCTCTGATGCCCTCCCTGACACCCACGTGTCCAATAACCTGACGTATCGCTGCACACAGTCTGCTCCCTGCCTCAGCAAGGGCAGCTGAACACACCTGGGAGCTGCTCAGGAAGGGCAGATGGAACACAGGGAGCCCCTGCCAGTCACCATGAATGGGGTTGCCCCAAGGAAATGAAAATTGCCTGCCTGTTCTACACCCGTGTGCTGTGCAGATTAGAATATGGCTTTAGGTATTTGGGTGCTTTAAGCCTGAGTGTAAGATTTTTTTCACCTCCATAATAATGAAGTAGAACTAAATGCTCTGTTTTCCAATGTGCCACAAGGCTGATTAAATAGGAGGCTGACAAAGGGGGTTTAGAGCAAACATTTAGCTTTGGGTATTCTTTTGTTTGTTATTTTTGAACAGTGGGTTGGAGCAGATTACAAAGCTTGAAATGAATATAAATAGTTTCCTGGTTTAAAAAAAAAAAAAAGAAAAAAGCAGAAGAGGACCTAATTTAAACCTTGCCCTGAGGAGCTGGCAGCTCAAAGCCAACACGTGGAGTCGTGTAGTGGAACTGTAAAGAGTAATTCCTCACCAACAGGAGCTCAGCTCCACACTCAGGTCCATGCTTGTGTAAACAGCTTTACGATTTGTGTCAGTTGTAAAGTCGTGCTCCAGGAAGCCAGTCCAGAGGAAAACGGGAAAGCTGCAGGTGAGTAGGAGGAGTACACCTGGTGAGGGGGTGAGCAGGAATGAGGAGACAAACTGAGAAAGGAGTGCAGCTCAGATTTGCTGTAAGATGAGAAGTAAACTTCTGTGAAACAGCAGCAATCACTATTAAAGCATTTAAAATTTAAAATTACAGTATGAAGTTACTTCAGGTCCTATAATTTGAACAATTACATGATTTAGAATTTAAACTCTTCGTCTGTGCCACACGACAGTAGAAGTCCTGATCCACTTTGGGGGCCTGGATTTACTTCTAGCATTAAGGTTAGTTAATAAACATAATAACACTGATATCATTGTTATCTGTAAGACTTGCATGAGCAGGAGGCTCATATTGAAAAGTGGGTAGAGTGAGGAAGGAAGGGCCAAGTGAGGCGTTAGGGCAAGTGGAACAGCAGCCTCTGCCTTCCCAGCTCCTGCAGTGTGACCTCCAGACAAGCTCTTCCTATTCATCCTAGCTCTTGGTTTTCCTCAAGAAATCTGGCAAAGGATCAGGCAGTGCATAATGGAAAGGCTGCTGAATGCTGTAAGCGACAAACCCCCCAGCGTTTGGCATTTCTTTTTGTAGCACTGGGAGATGTCGACTGGGTAATCCAATATGGCTTTTATGTCTTATCTGGTATTGTTTGCAGCAGGCCTGTTTAGTGAGCATGTCACCTTTAGGCACTGGTGGTGAACAACATCTGAAAATGGAACCTTCCCCAGCTGCTGGCTGAGCAGTACGAGGGCACAGCCCCCAGAGAACGGGGCTCCACGGCCGGCGCTGCCCGCGGCCGACGAGGGGCCACCACCCATGGCACCCTGTGCCAACTGCCTTGGATTTAAGGCTTCACATGTGAACATGTGGTGAAATACAACGATGCAGTTTGGAAATACCAGTGGAAAATAATACATCTTTATTTATCCCTATTTTCTTGTTTACAGATCTGTGCAGCCACAAATAACAGATTGATGTGTTTGCTTACATCCATGTTGCATCTTATATCTGTTTATTAACAGGTACAAAATGTCCCTGTCTCTGCCCAGTGTTTTAGGAATTGTAGAAGGGTTTTTGACTCACTGATTAATATAGATTTTTTTATCTATTGAGAACAGGGCTGAAAGTGGACTCACCAAAAAATGCCCCGTAAATGGTGTTTTTACTGTTGTCCCTTAGTGACTACCATTCAAAAGGGTCTCAGCACTACTGTATTTTGCCATCTCTGTTAAGTAGAATATAAAATTATATATAAATATATAATTAAATATTAATTATATATTTTTATATATATATATACACTTAAATCTAGCTTTACAGCACTTTGGGGAAGATGGGGCTAACTTTGACCCAATTTTTCACTGATGTGATTAGTGGTTCTATGTGCCTCTAACTGAAATCCATTAAAAGGTGCTGCCTTGTTAAAGCTTCATCTCTGGTGATCAAGTTTCTTTGAGGAGTTTGCAGTTACCCACTCAAAAATAGACTTGCTAACAGTCACTAAGTAATTTCTGAATATTTAGGTCACTTCTCATTTCTAGTTTTCACCTTTGGAGACAGAACCTGGTGCAGGTAGTTATTGGTCTGAACTCTCTTCTGTTCCCACTTAAATAATTGAGAATTCTGCCATGAGCTTTGGTGGCCAGGACTTTGAGATCTTTTTCCTCTGACCTGGTGGAAGTGTTTGCAGCACAGGGCATTTCCCACGGTGTCAATGTTCTGATGCAAAACTCACACTGTGCTCCTGACACACCTGCTGGGACTGAGGCTGCACACCCGTCCCGTGCCCAGGGGTGCCCTGTGTGACCTGAGGAGCAGCAAGGAGAGTCTGATGGGACATGCTCAAGCTGCTGCAGTGGGACTGATGTCAGCCTGACCCTGGGAGTTCCATCCTAAGAACTGCTGTGTGCTGTAATTCCTTTTTTCTTGGCTGGTTCACGTGTACCTTTCGCTGTTGGCTTTTTATTTCCCACTTTCTTTAGGAGTTAAAGGGGAACAAACACGGGTTCTGGATTGTCAGCTTAGAAGTTCTTGTAACCTTTCTTTTCAAGGTGAGAGGTTTCTCTCCATTGGTTTTGTAAGCTATTATTAAAAGGTCTTCAGCATGTCTGGAGTGTCACTGCTGCAGGTCCCTGCTGGCCATGTCACTTGGCACAGACACCCTCTGGAGCTCTGCTGGGGCAGGTGTCAGCAGTCTGAATGCTGCAAAGCCACCCCTTGCACTTTACTTTGGTGTGTTCCAGTCTCCTCTTCCCAAGCTGCTGTACAGCCTTGTGGAAGGACTGTTAAAAGGCAACACTAATGGCACTGGCTCAAGATTCTCTTGCAAGCTTAAATATACCAAAGTTTCAGCATTGCTGCCTTCACAGTTCCATGTTTTGGGGTGGTGTATCCCTTGCTCCCCTTCAAGTCCAAACCTTTTGGTTAGCTAGGAGTTCTTTTGACTGAAAAAGCCATGTCAGGGTAAGCCCAAGATGGTTTAGGGTTTGGGAATAACTTCTTTCCCTTCCTTTTCTGTGATTTCAACCGTATCTGGACTTGGGGATTTGCTGAGCTTCAACAATCCCATTATAACCAAAGCAATGCAATTTGCCTGTAGACAAGCTCTTAATGTCATTTACAGTGATTATACCTGTGTTAAAATTACAGTATTGGTCCAAAGCAATGCATTGTTTTAAACGGTTATTTTAAATAATTGTAAAACTAATTGATCAGCCTTTTAAATATCTTTTCTTCAAATACTTTTTCTCTCCTCTTTGATGTATTGATATTATGAGGCCTCCTCTCGTCTCTCAATGACTCTCAGGTGCAGCCAGACTCACCTCATGTGTCACAGTGATATTGTGCACATCAGACTTTGGGACAGGGTGGGCTCTTCATCCCGGGAAACCACGGCCAGCTCGGGCCCGGGAGCGCTGGGCAGGGCCGGGCTCTGCCTGGGAATTACCAGGACATTACTGCCAGAAGAGGAGTGAAACTGGGAACACACGAGTTGCTATCAGCTTCATAAATGAGTCACCAAAAAAGAGAAAAAAACCCGTATTAAATCAGGCTCTTCTTACACCATCAACTTGTCAGAAGTGTGAGACCTGGGCAAACGCTTTCAGCATCTGAAGAGATGATGCCTCTGCAGTGTCTTTAAACATTTTCTAATGCCAAACAAATGCCGTTCGGGTTTATGTGCTCAGACTAACAGTGACATCCAGTGGCTGAGCGACCCAACCACGGGAACAGTCACTGCGGGTGGAGCGGCCGAAGGGATGTTTATGGTGATTTAGATCAGATGGAGTTTATAGTGAATATGAAATATGCCATCCTCGGGACTTGTGTGACAGCCAAACCACTCTCACCTTCACACTTGTGCTCTTGGGAAGACAGTGGTGAAGGTGCAGTGTCTAGAGGAGGGATCGCTGTGAGTCTCCTGCAGTGGTGGAGACTTTGGGCACAAATTGACTCTAGGTTTAAAAATCTCCTTTCATCTCTCCAGACCAGTCTCACTGAGTCTGTGAGCACTTTGGGCATGAGCAAAGCTGATGGCTGTTCTGAGAGCTGCCTGAGCACTGGGGAACATGCAGGGCTGCAGCAGCAGTGCTGGTCCAAGATGTGGAAGATTGTTTGATGTGCTCCTGAGTGCTCCAAAGCCTTTAGAAGGAAAATACACTCAGAAAAGGCAACTAGAACGGATAGTGCAGTGTCATAAACACTGCTGGGGTTTCTCTGTGCCCCTGGAGCATCTGATCAGAGTACATGCAGAGTGGAAAGTTTATTTATTACGGAGAGGTGATTCATTACTGGCCTTGGGTCCAAAGGCAGCAGCTGGAGCCACTCTTGCCAAATGGGACCCTTGCAGCCATGGGCACATCACAGGTGAGGGATAATCCATTTCTCTTTGGGATGGGTGCTGCACCTCTCCTGATGGCAAACATCCATCCTCCTCTTACTGCTCAGCTTCTTGAGAGCCATTTGTGTTTTGTTTGTGGTCTGCAAGTTAAGGGAGAGCTTAATGACATAGAATTCACAGAGCTGTAGGATGGTAATGATGACAGCAGTGCCACGTTCTAGGAACAAGCCTGGGTATTTCAGAGGAACCTCGCACAGAGCGCCAACGGCTCCCAGAAGCCTTCTGACATTAAGAGTACAAATAGCTTGAGAGAATAAATGGTTGCTTCCAGCATGAACAGAGCTAATTTTAGACAGGAGTCCCTAATGTGCCTGTCGGTGCTTCCAAATGAATGATTAAAGATAAAAATAGATTTATCATGTTTTCCCTTGCACTGGGCCTCAGATCTGTGGGCAATATGGAATCACCTGCTGCAAACACCCATGTGAGCCTGCCCTAATGTACTCTGGAAATGATTCCACAGTGTCCATTGAGCACAGCTAATTGCATTGTCACAACTGGAGACATTCCCATCCTGATTGCAGTTAAAGAAGCACCTGGTAAATTTGTTTTGACTTTGCTGTCTCCTGGTTAACGTAAAAGTGCAGGGGATGTAAGGCCTGTTCTGTGCTATACTTCATTTTCTCCTAAGAACCTGCCAGTGAACTGCACACACAATGACAAATGTGCTTTGTAAGGCTGATCTGAATGTAGGTGTTGTCTTTTTCTGTTTGTTTTCCCCACAAACCTTTGTTTAGTTTAGTGGTTTTGTTTGTTTACTGTATAATTGAACTTTTGAAGACAGTATCCATTTCAGAAAAATTTTTCTCCTAAAATAACTCCATGTCACTTGGCTCTGTCTTGTGGCCTGATTTCTAACAAATATATCAGATATGTATGTTAAAATATTCATAGCACCAGTAATACAGAAATATTGCCACAACATCACTGGAAGCCTTAAACATGCACACCTGTAAATTCTGTCCATGTCATGGGGGTGCAGTGTGCCTGTGGCAGCTCCTCCCTCAGCATCCACAGGGGCTGGCAAAGCATCCTCCCCAAAACACCTGATGAGAAGATACCTTCACCACACATGCTCAAGGCCCAAAGTATTTCACTCTTTTTATAGGCACATCATTCATCAAAAAAGTTAACAGATTTTGTATCTAAGCGTTTAATTAGCAACTAAAGAGTAAAGCCAGAAAAAATCAGTTCATTGTTTTTCATGGATACAGAGTACATTTGCCTTCACTATGCAGAGTAATACATTTATAGTAAGACTTTATTCTTTCAAGGTTCACGGGTCAAGATTAATCAGTTGTGACCTTGGCACACAGCTCTTCTCTTCATGAAGTAAAAGCTGAGCAAGGGAATCTGAAACAAGGACCTGTACGTTTATATAGAACTGGGTCTGATTGAATGGTTGAAATGTAATTGAACAGCAAAAATAACATTCCTTTACAGAGGGAGAATTAAAGACCTTTGGAAAAAGAGAGGTGAAATATGAGTAATTTTTCAGTGAAGTGACATTATGAATTAATCTCTAACATGGCTGAGGTTGACAGTTACAGTTCCTTTCCTACTGTAATCCTTTCTCCAGAGCAGTTCTTCCTGCTTAAAATATTCAGAGAGAAAGATACAAACATCAACATTTGAAATGTGAGGTGCTTTGGTGGCACAGTGTTCACTGCCAAACAGAATTCACGTTTGTTTCTGCTTGGCATCTTTCTTTACAGAAACTTTGAATGTTTTATCTACCTCATATGTTCTGTAGTAGCAAACCAGACTTTAGCAGGGTAATAGGTTGCTGCAATCACCCTGGCAGTTCCAACCACAAGCAACAGGACCAGATTCCCTGCATCCCAACTCCACTGGGACCTTCCAGGAGAGCAAAGCTCCTGCCTCAGCTGTCTGAGTTCACAGACCTCTGTGTGTATGACATGGAGCAGCTTTGGGCTATTTCCTGACAGGGACTTTTCAGTGATTATTTACCTAAATAGGGTTAAGGGTTAGGGTTAGTTAGATATTTGGATATTCAGTTATTATTTACCTAAATAAACTCATCTCTTTCATTCTTCTTTTTTTTATACCCCCTGAGCGTCCCAGACCTCTGCCCTGCTGTACCAGTGTGGTTTCCCTTGACAAGGGAATTCCTCAAGCACTGTTTTTGGCTATTTAAGATTATTTTGTGCTCCTTGTTAGGCTTGGCCCACCAGACAGTCTTGACCTGAGAGTTTTGATGATTTTTATTTGTGCCTCAGAAAACAAGAAGTCTTTGTAGTTCCATGCATAATCCTGGATTGAAAGCCCCTGTGCTGCTTGGGGTCTGGCTGCACTGATCTGTTCTCACTGTGGTGCTCAGCTCTCTTCACAACCCTTTTCAAATCATCCACTCTACAGTTTAGCAAATCTTCACCTATTTCCACAAATGTAGAAGCAATTCCATAAAGGAGTATTTTTGCTTAGTGATGTAGTTTTCTCTGCCCTGCTCTATCCTACACATTATCCACTAAAGTATACACATGGCTACATGGAAAATGCATGACTGTCACCATCAAGAGGAATTCTTTTGAGCCACAACCTTTCTTCCTATTTCCTTGTGGTTTTATGAGCTTCCCTGCCGAGACTAATCAATATGTAAACCTCAGCACGTTTGTAGCTGGTCTCATCTTTGTATATTAAAAGTTGTATTTCATAGCTTCTAGGTCTTGTAATTTCATCAAATCTTCCATGATATTTACCTTTTCCTTAACTCCTACAGGCAGGGGTTTGTTGCTTTAAATATTCTATTCATTTTTGCAGTTGTTGACAAAAACTTGCAAATCTGACCCTGCAGGCTTGAAGATTTCTAGGGGCATTTGCAAAGCACAAAAGCTTAAAGTGAGGCACTATTTTAAAGCTTGGCTCAAGAGGGTCTTCATCCTGATTCACATGTTTGGAATTGCAGGACTCTAACCTACTGTTCATCCTCTCTAATACCTCATATTGATGTTCCAGCCAGAGGAAGGACTCAGGAGCCAGCCTGTTGGGGCTGTTGGTGGCCCTGGGGTAGCTCAGGTGCAGTACCTGCTCCCCAGCCACTCAGCCTGGGGCAGCAGTGCCAGCAGGGCTGTCAGCACGGCCAGGGAGGGCCAGCACTGCCCCACACCTGGGTGGCTGTTCCCTGTGCCAGCACTGTGTGCCCAGCACTGCCCCACACCTGGGTGGCTGTTCCCTGTGCCAGCACTGTGTGCCCAGCACTGTGTGCCCAGCACTGCCCCACACCTGGGTGGCTGTTCCCTGTGCCCATCATCACACTGATTGGTGTTGTTTGAACCCAAAGCAGGATTTCTACTGCCTTTTCATAAATCCACTGAATCATTTATATTTGTATTAAGGTTTATAATCTTGTTTTTGAAAAAGGAGCACTGACCTTTGGCTGGTGTCATTTGCTAGACTTCCTCCAAGCGATGCCATCAGGAATTACAGGGATAATGAGGTGGAACAATTTATTAATCTGTCATCCCTGAGCAAATGGGCTACATTTGTTTTGGAGCCTTAATGTAGTGGTCATGGGTTAACCAGCTTGTAAAATCCCATGAGATTTCCTTTCCAGGTAGGAATAGACTGGGATCTTACTGACTTACCGTATATCAAGGAAAATAACGGGTGAAATCTATAATTAGTGTAAAAACTCTGTGAATTTTCATAGGGTCAGGAATTCACTGATGCTTTCACTGCTGCAATTCATTGTACCCACAGAGCTCTGGAGTGGCTTCAGCAGAACTCCAGCCAGCACTGCAACCTGCAGGTCCAGGAGCTCACCTGACAGATTCGGTCACCTGGGCTTGATCCCAGAACAGTTGGAGTTCTCAGACATCAAACCCATAATTAAGGCCTTTATTGAACTGTTGATTTTTTTAAACTATACTTTTATATCCTTTTGTATCCTTAACTGCACAATTTATTGTAATTCACACAAAAATAACTGTGGCATTGACTTGCAGCTATTTAGTATTACTCAACAGTTTGGAAATTATCTCAGAACAGAGGTGATTGTGACACAGGCTGAAGCAATACAGTACAGTACAATTCATCCTAATGCACATTTAAATATTCATGCTTCTATCAAGAAGATAATTGTTTTGAAGTGTTGGCTAGCAAACCCTGGAAAGTACAGTTTGCCTCAATCTTACAGCAAATTTGTTAAAGCATTTGGTATTTTCTGTAGGAGAGTACTAATGAGCCAGTGTTTGATACCATCGACATTTTTTCCTATTAACTGTCATGAAGAATTGTAAATGTGGTGGACACTTGTGGACAAGCATAATTCTTAGTGTCCTTTTCAGAACTAAACTTGTAGTAGGTTGTAGATCTAATTTTGGTAGTGAATTCAACCAAAAAACCCACCAGAACACTTGGCATGGGACAGAAAGTTTCTGGTCCCCTAACTTCCATCATAAGAGCTTGTAGGTTGTGCTTTTGGCTGGTGTAAGGATGAATTTCTTCAGCAACTGCTATTCCCCAATAAGTATCCTGAGTTGAGGCATAGAAGCTGTTTGTGTATGAGGTCAGTGGGAAACTGCTACTCCACAACTAGAACACAGGGGCAAGAAATCAGCAAATTCGGCTTTGAATCAATGAAATCTTCCTTTAAGGCTGCTTGGCAGTTCCAGGTGTACTTGTTCTGCACTGAAATGCAAATCTACCATTTGAAAGATGCAAGTGTTTTCAGATTAATCAAAATTCCACTGTACTTTCTTCCTAAATTTTAACTGCTCCTTTTCATTGCCCATCACACACACACTTGTTTCCATTTCACATTTTCAGCTAGTGTGTGCAGAAAGAAAATTTCATTATGAAAACCCCTGCTAGGAGTGTGCTGTGCTGCTCCCAGGGCATGCCCAGATCTAATCTGGGATTATCTCCCTCCCGACAGCTGCCTGCTAAACTGCTGCTCCCAGTCTAGAGCTCGTGTCCCGCACGTTCCTGGCGTGCTGAGTCGGCACAGGAGCGGGGCTGGCTCGGGGCTGGCTCCGGGCCCCTCCTCGCACCTCCAGATGCAAACCAAGTGTCTGATACCACTTCTGGCAGCAGGAGCTGCACAGGCTGGTTGCTCAGGCACTGTCTTTAGTCCTTGCTCTCTAAATCTTTCATAACAGCTATTGAATACACTCTTATTATTTCACAACTCTGCACCTTTTCCTTCGCTGTTTGCTCTGATGCACCAACAGTGGAGAGCAGCAGCACGTTTATGTGCTAACAGCCCAGATAACAGACATGATAAATAAACATATAGAAACCTGGAGGAACTTAATGCAGAGCCTTATTTCAATTTTTTTATGCATCCAAAAATCAATAAAGATTTTGTCATTCTCTTCTGACCTCTTACCTGACCTAGTTCTCTTTTAGTTTAGAATTATTCCTTCCCCTTTCCCTCCTCCTCTGGTCTTCTTTCCAGAGGACCACTTTGGTAACTTTTAACTCCCTTATTAGCTAAGCTGCTTCAAGGACAGCAGAAGAATGAATTCCATGGGAAATTATGTGTGCAGACTTTCTCATTTGAAGAGGTGATTATCCTATAACAGTCTCTGACCACTCCACATTTGCCATCCACTGACAGTGCTGCAGGACTCCCAGTTAAATGATATGGCATAATTTTACATCATCTCACTCACTCTTCTAAAATCAAACTGCCCTTGCAGTGAGCAGCTGACACCTACAGCCATATGCTGATCTGTCTCAAAGTGCAATGTAAGCCTTTCTCTAGGATTTGCATTTTTGAAGGTAAATCTACAGATTCCCTCACCTGAGCAGACTCTCCACAGAGGCTGCAGCCAGTCAGCAGAGTCCTTACAGCCTCACTTACTGTTTTCCTCTCTCTGACTCCCAGTGTGCCTTGTCTGTTTTGATCTGCTCTTGTATTTTTCTGAGAAGATGAAGAACCAAAAAGTCACGGTCTTGCATTGTACTCACATCCATCTCTCATCCCAAAGGAACTGGAATACTCAGTGGTTCATCTGTGTTCTCTTCCCCCTCGAGTGACAGAGGGCAGAGCCTTGGCGGTCCCCACCCTTCCTGGGAGGGCTCTGTGGGCCGTGTTCTCCCATGAGCTGCTCCCATGCCATTGTCCATTTGGCAGGACTGTTTGCCCCTGCTCTGGATCTGAGGTGGATCCCAGGCAGTGGCTCACTTGCCAGGCCAGGCTCAGCCCGTGTCAGGTTGGAGTGTTACCCACCCAAGTGCTGATGAGCACTCCTGTAGTGCTCTCCCAGTGCAAACTATTATTTCTTATTTTGTCCTTCTGGGACACCTGAGCACAGGTGGACTTTTGTAGACATTAGTCATCTTTATCAGGCAAAAGATTTTACTCCATATAAACAAATAATTGGAAAATCAAGTTAGAATTTGATTCATCACATTGTTTTCCTCTCTTGATATAATTTAGAATCATTTCAGAAGTGACTGATGTAATAGACTTCGAGGTTCATCTTGTAGTTACAAACTGTCTGGTGGCCTAGTCCAGGGTGAGCAGACTGATCAAATCTGGTAGGTAAGGGCTGAAGTATCAGACTCCAGAATCCTTGGATGCATTTTAAACATCCAATTCAAATAAATGCAGCTTACAGGAAGAGTTCTACCTATCATGTTTAGGGCAGAGAGAAGGTCTAAGTTAGGATATTGCTGACACCACTGCTGTACTGCGATTAAAATATGGCTTTTGATTAGTAAACAGATGGATTTTGATCTGCATCATGAGCCTGAATGAATTTGTTGCCAGTTCTTGAAGCGATTTGTGTTCTTGGAATCAAACTACCAAACAGTAACAGATGTGAGTACATTGAGCTGTCAAGAGCTTAATGAAGTAAAACAGAGATCACTACTCAGTTTCAGAGAAGGGTTAAGGGGATCCCTTTTTGAAAGATAATTATTTAGGACAGCACACCTGTCATTAGGCCGCAGAAGATACCAAAAATTAACCACTATCTCACATGAATTCTCGCTCTGCCACATGTGGTTGAAATGATAGACAGAGTTGTAGCTCAAAATTAATTGAGCTTTCAAATCGGGACAAAGTGGGAGAAAAAATTATCTAGGATTATTAAAAGCAGTTGAAATTGCCAGCACAGCACACTTTACAGTAGTATGAAACATTCCCTTTCAACTCTTAATAGTATAAAGACAATTTGGTACCCAGAACACTGACAGTTAAATCCAGCACAGTACATGCAGCCATACTGACACTGCTTTCAGCAAGGTGTGGGGAGAGAGAGCAGAGCCTGGCCCTGGCAGAGGCTGTTGGAGTGTTCAGACAGTGCCCAGCACCAGCAGGGCTTCGTCCACCCGAGGCCTGCCCGGGGTGAACTGTGACACTGTGCAGGAGCAGAGCTGCTTTCTGTGCACAGCCGAGAGGGGTGGGAGCTCCATCAGTGGTTACATCTCCTGCTGGCTGTGCCTGGATGACCCAGGCCATGGAAATCAATGAAGGCAGCAGCTGCTCCTCTCCATGATGTGGAGATGCACGTGTGGAGTCACAGTTAGAGCTGTGAAGATGCTCTATTGGGTTTTGTCCCAAGTGGAATGGGGTGTAAAAGCTCAGCCTTGGGTCAGGTCTGCAGAACTACCCAGAGGCCCACAAATCTCACAACCCACCAGCTGGTAGGAGCCTCCCCTCCTCTCCCCATGTGATGCGTGGCTGGGGGGAGATCACCTTCCAGCAAGGTACAGTGACATTTGCAGTGCTTATCTGATCACAGAGTCACAGAAACACAGAAACACAGAATCACAGAGTCACAGAATCATGGAATCACAGAATATCCTGAGCTGGAAGGGACTCACAAGGATCAGCCCTGCACAGGACCATCCCCAAGAGTCACACCATGTGCCTGAGAGTATCATCCAGATGCTTCTTGAGCTCTGTCAGCCTTGGTGCTGTGACCACTTCCCTGGGGAGGCTGTTCCAGCACCCAACCACCCTCTGACCCTTCCAGTGTGAACAATTTAGGTAAATCACCAATCTTCATTAATCGTGTTGCTGTTGTAAAAATAGCCGTTGTGAGAAATGAGTATCTGCAGGATTAAAATGCCTTTCCTGAGTACTTTCAGGGAGCAGTGTTTCTGTAGTTGTAGGGGCTGGTGACCATGGCAGTGTGTGCCCGGGGATGGGAGGGCTCTGATGGTGGTGGTGGGCTCAGGGGGGATTCTGTGCAGGTTGCTGTGTGTGAGCAGCTTCACTTATGCAACTCATGCTATTAAAATCAATCACCTGGTGATGGCCAATACAGAGGCTCTAAATCCTGGGAAAAGAGACACCATGTCTGGCACGGAAAGTGCAGAAAGGAGATAGAAGCCTTTGTTATTTTCCCTTTCTGCAGTACAGAGGATGCACAGAGCTGACCCTCGGGCTCCTCTGCAGAACAGCATATTTATAATCCTTAGGAGATTGCTGCATTTTTACAGGAGATTTGGGTGAATATATAACTGCCTCCATAGGAGCCTTTCATCATTTAGCATCCTACTGATGCTCGCTTTTCCTCTCCACAGGAATCCTGACCCCAAATGATTGTAAATTACCAGGCAGAAATCTTTGATCAGTCACCAATTAGCTCCCTTCCTTCCAACACGAAAAGCTCTGTATGAGGGAGCTCTGGTGGCTTCAGTATGGAGAGTTAACATTTGAATTCAGCACGTTGGGAGGTTGGTTACCTGTTACGTGTTCCTGAACTGAAAATTTCCTCTGTGGCTCTTCTTTTATAGTGTTGCTTTCAATGTCAACACAAACCCAGTGTGTACATATGAATACTGGTACTTTCTCCATCTTACAAAGACTGAAATGGCATGGCTGGCCCTGTGCTTGGCTGCAGCCCATGCTCTCAGGGATCACATTCCTCCTGCGTTTTCACAACTGCAAAGAGAAAGATTTGCTTTCCTTTTGAATGAAGGGGTTTTCAGTTGTTATTCTGCACAGTTTTTATATTTCTAAAGATTTAATGATACTTTCCAAATGGGAAACTCTATTTTATGGCTGAGTGTCAGCATGGCTTCAGCCAACACACAAGGGACTGAAGGCCCCTTGCCCTGAGCTGGGGTGGGGCTCACCAAGTGATCCTGTTTGTAGGGTCAGGTTTGGTGTTTGCAAAAGTTTGACCTTCTATAAACTATTGTTGAGTTTTAGCATGTTCTCAAGTTCTCATCTTGTAGTAAGTTTAGGACTTTTATTTTTTTAACTCTACATTGTCTTACTTACTCCTTCCCAGTGGGAAGTGCCCCACATACTGAATCCAGCAGTGGCAGCCACAGAATTAGACTCTCACTTCCCCTGTGAAAACATTGCCAAGTTTCTCTTGAATTTTGTTCTACTTTTGTTAAACCCATGCAGTGATTTTTAACTGTAAAATAAGTTTTACTGACTCTTGCCCTCCCAAAGCAGATATCTAAAATAAACCCAGTGATCATTAGCTTGCTATGTTACAGTAACTACTAAAAAACAGGGGAGATATTGGTGTCACCACTGAAGCAGGCAGATCTTGTCATGGAATAAAAGCTCTTGAGGTAGAAAAAACAAAACAGCCCAAAACAAGTGGTGTCAGGGTAAACAGAGGAGGGTGAGAAGTCCCTTTCCTAAGGCCTCTCTTAGCAAATCCAGGAATGCCCGGTGCCACTCTGGAAGTGGGTTCCTCATGCCCTGTGGAGCTCTGTGGATGCCCTGCCAGCTCTGTGGGGCTGCCTGGGTATGAGGGGCTGCCTGGGTATGAGGGGCTGCTGGAGCTCAGCAGCTGGGGAGAAGCATGGCTGAACTGTCCTCTTCTGCCATTTTTTAAAAGAATAAAACAGTTCCATTCGTTCTTTATTTTTCTTTCACTTGTTATTTTACAAAAAGAAGCCTTTTCCTGCTAGGATGTCTTAAAGTAAATGTGTTGTAGGAATTTGTTTTTTTATGGATATGTCTTCATTCACAATCAGTAGATAATTGCATTAAACTGTCTTTACCTGGAGAGGTTTGAAAATCATGTTAAACCCAACAGTCACATAACTGCCCAAATGACAGATCATTTACAGACTGAGATCCTCCCTTTTCCCCCAAACCAAAAGTCCTTTCAGAGGAAAGGTGTTACCACGCACCACCTGTCTCTCCAGCTGTCAAGATCTTGAGTCCATTCATTAACCACAGGCAGCTCTTTAAAATTCTGCCCCGATCGTACATTTTCTGGAGACTATTGAGCTGAGCTGACAAATATCCTCTCTGTGCTGGCTGGGTGATGGGCCCTGCTCTGGGGGAGAAGGCTTTCTGCACCATTTTGGTCACGTTCCTTTAACTGTCCGTGATGGAACCAGCACCTGGCACAGGGCACAGGGCTGGCGTGGGGCCAGCTGTCTGTCACCTCATGGCTGTGTCACCCTGGGCTCTGAGAACCCGCTGGGCAATCCTGGGCAAAGCTGAGTACTGGGTTTGCACTGGTCTGTGCCCAAATACAAAGTTTCAAAGGTCTATTATGTCTGGAGTTTTTTTTAGAAGTGAGTCACAAAAAATTACGGGTAAAAATAGCGGGAAAGTGGATTTTCTTCCCTTTGCTACACTGGTTTTATTTATGGCCCAGTTACAGCATAACAGCTTGCTGAATATCCAGGAGGCCACTGGGCAATCTACAAGAAAATGCAATCCACAAGCAAAGGAGCAAGGGAAGAAGGAAAGCAACTTGCCCTGTGGCACAAATAAAAGTGAACCCCAACAATAGCATGTGCTCAGGGAACACAATAAAGCAAAGGCTGCTTCAGTGGTGATCGCACGCATCCCTAACTGCTGCTCTGGGAGCATCCCGAGGGCACTGCCCACATGGGTGACCCACGCACGTTTACACCCTGCCAGGGGCTCACCCTTGTTCTGCAGAGGAGAAACAGGCATTTATTTAAATCAAAAGTGACTGCAACAATCCAGCACAAACATTCCATTTCAAAGCCATTACTCCCACTCTTCTTCCAGCCCTCCCTGCCAGCAGAAGGCCAGGGAAGGTGCTGCTCATGGCGGGTTTGGGCTGCCATGCCAGGGGCTCTTCCCATCACTGCTGTGGTCAGTGGGCTCCTTGTCCAGGGTTCCCCAACAACAGCCTGGTGCTGGTTCAGTGACTGCGGTGTCCCTGTCCCTGCGCGTGCCCATGTGTCCATGTGTGCCAGGGCACAGTGGGGCAAGGGCCTGTCACAACTGGGGGCAAGTTGCTGATGGAGCCCTGGGACGCAGTGGGCAGCAGCAGCCAGAGCAGGAGCCAGCTAAGCAGAAATATTGGCCTACATTTTTTTCTCTGCCTGGTGGAAGGCATGTGAGTTTCTATGGCAACTTGTGTTTTCTGTTCGTCAGGCCTACTGACTCACTTCTGGGGGAGCCGTGGAGAAAAAAGATTTGTTTTCTTTCCCTGCCAAGTCAAGTGGCTCCTTTCCTGCAGCCCAGAGCTCTCATCTGAGGGCTTCTGGTCGGGATTTGTGGCTGGTGTGGCTTTGCAGCATCAGTTTAGGGCCACAAGACAAGACAGTTGAACGTGACAACATCCTCATCCCCTTGAGGAATCCTTGGCAACGAGTGGAGTTTCTCTGTGTCACAAGAGGCCGCCAGCCCAGCTGACACCCTGGGACGGCCGGGCTGGCGCTGGTGGCAGCACGGGCTGTGCAGGAGGGCAGCATGGGGGCTCCTGGCACAGGCCTGTGCCACAGGGTGGCTGGAGCACACACCCCGGCTGAGCTTGTGAGTGCTGATGGCACAAAATGATCAGAGAGGCCCAAAGCAGCCGTGTCTGAGGGCAGTTTTTGTGGGGGGAATCAGCTGGAGGGGACACAGCTCAGCGGGAGGAGTGGACTCATGTGCAGAGCCCAGAGTCAGGCAGGGCAGAACACATTTGATCCTGAGCACCTTTGTAGTGATCAGCCTATTCTTTTTAATCTACTAGTCCATTTTGACTTATTCGATTGTCAGCCTTGCTTTAACAGCTCTACATCCTTGCAGACCAGTGTCCATTGCTAAAATATTTCATTTATGGTTTCATGGTGGCATCTTGAGCTCCCCGTATCAAACCTTCCATGGGAACAGGGCAGCATGTACAGGCCTTCCATGGTCTCACCTCATCACCCCAGCTTTTCTAATTGGGAAACTTTCCTGGATAAGCAAGCTCGATTTTCCAGCAGAGCTCAGGGATGCTGAGTAACCATTTCTCCTTAAAATGAAGGGGGAGCTTTGTAACCACTTCTCTCAGGCTCCGCTGAAAATTCCAGCTATTATACCCTGGAGAACACTGCAAGCACTCGCACGACCAGCAATTCTTCTGAAGCTTTTTCTTTTGCCTAATCACAAACATATGGTACACTTTAGGGGAGATTATCCTTACATTGTTAGCTTTAAAATGCAGCTTTCTTCCAGCTTTCCAAGGTCACAGCAGCTATCCAGTTAAACGCTAGGGCAGAAATAAAACGTTAACGCAGCATGACCTTGGTCAATCAGTTAATCTTTCTCTACCCTATTTACTCCAGCAATATAAAAATCCATCCCTACACACTGCAGAGTGCTTTGAGATCCTGGGGTGAAAGGTACATCATAAGCCAGAGTATTAATTATTGAAGCCCTGATAGCGTGTGGTGCTGGAGGGAATGCAGATGAATTTACTCTCCGTGTCTGTGTTTGTGCCGCACGTCCGTCGGTCACGGGGCTGCAGCCACCAGTGAGACCCCGGGCCCTGCACCACTGAGAGGTGTGGGAGGGC